CTCTAGCAAGGACTTAAAAGGTGATAGAACCTTCCACTTAGGCTTAAATTAAAGCTAGAACTACGGACTACGATCCCTGAAAATACTATTCCTGCACCTTTCCCTGATGGTCACCTATACTGGAAACTTATGCAATTGAAAAAAAATGTGTAAAAATCACTGTTAGCTGTTCAACAAATGACTATAGGTGACCTTAGGGTCAAGGTGCAGGAATGGTATTTTTAGGGATTGAAGTCAGAAGTCCAGACCTTAATCTAAGCCTAAGTGGAAGGTTCTACCACCCTTTCCGTAATTGGGGTAGGTACTCAAACTTCCCAAAATCAGTGTTTCCTATTCAACAAATGACTATAAGTGACCATGAAGCAAAGGTGCAGGAATTTTGCAGGGATAGTAGTCGAGATCACAATTGATTACTCACCGCTGTCGGTACCATAAGCCATCAAATCCGTTTTGTTGTTCCATTCCATGAGCTCAATATGCTTTGAAATTTTGAGGCAAATGAACGCAAATTTTCAACATATCGCTAATTTAGTATGGATAGCGCGTATTTCACATTGTCGCTGAAATGCATAAAAACCACAACTAATTAAAATAATTTATTGTATAAAACGATGTGGGGACTTACATATAATATGATTCAATGAAATGCTTTAGAATCAATCATAAAGTGAACTTTGGATTTTTAGTTAGTTACGGCATTATGTATTTCAGCGACGATGTGAGTTACGCCCTTTCCATACTATACTAACGATGTATTGCATTCTAAGTCCAACTCCTGTTTAGATATTAATTTCGCCTTGAATTGATTCTTATTTGATTTGTGAACTTGGCTGTCAACTTTCTCACATCCGAATGTTGACAATGGATAGGTTTAGAACTATGAAACAAAAATTACAAAAAAAAATATTGGCTACAATTTGTCATTTTGTTTGCCGAAAATACGTTTTATCAGTGCACTTTCACAATATTCGCATTCGCAAAAGCATCCGCGAATGCGAATGCGAATGTTAAAATTAATGCGGAAGCTCCGCGGTTGCGAATATTCGAAACAACCCTGGTACATACATACATATGTACATGACAACATCTGTAGACATTTGTGCGTGTGCAAATGCAAAAAAATGTAAAATTTTGAAGCCACTAAAGCAGTCATAATTTTTGCAACATTGTTAGTTTTCGGCTTCGAAAAGCAAAACATTAATATTTTGACGTGCATCGAAAAGCAATTCGGAAAGCTCGTAAAAATGAAAAATGCTATTACTATTTACATAGTTGCATATTTAAATGCCTTATTGAATGATTCACAGTTATGTATTGACCTCTATGGGCCAACCCTTATATGTCCTGTTTGCATTTGTTTGTTATGCACTACAAGAAGGATATTAGTTGGTAGAAAATGTGTTGAACACAAATTATATTTTGGTTCATGGACCCTGCAGGAAATGTATCTAACGTTCATTTAACTTGAAGTTGATTAGGATGGTACTTAAGGTCAGTATTATCTGTATAATTTCTTTGAGGAAAGCTAACTATACATATTTGTTTGGCGAGACCGCAAAATAATCAATCTTCATTAGGTGTCAACTAACTTGTAACTAACTACGTTGTACATAAAATATCAATAAGAAAAATATATATAACATTTTTTTACTATTTTATTTATTTAAATAAGTAATTACTTTATTTAAACACATTTATTTCCATATTCTGCTGTAGGTGGTCTTATATTGTCATATAGCCTGTAAGCACATTGTTTATTGATTAATAAATGATATGGAAATTACTTTATTCATTTTATTTGTCCTGAATTCAAAAAAGTATTTGCAAAGTGCAGAAAAAACTGCATTAAAAGTAAATTTTTTATAAGGATATTTAAATAGGAGCTTGTTTAAAGAAAACCAACTCCCAATTACGTCTGCATGAATCCTACCTGACTTTAAAGCTAGCTTTAAGTTGGATTGTCATAGCTAATTAAAAGTGAGGTGTTAATCGAAATCTCGCAAAGAAGCTAAGAAGCTGGTTATTTGTTATGAATTGATCATTTTTTTCTGCAGGGTATGTCTTTGGGATTTTAATTTTCCAGCTTTTTCCGATCCCGATTTTCGGGATATCGTTATTATAATCTCGGGATTAGTTCCGGGATTTGGATATTCATTACTTTTTAACAACTTAAATCGAAAAAATTGCATCTATTTGTTTGAGAAGCTCTCCTACCATAAAATAAATAATAAATAAATGGGTTTTAAACCCACTTTTTATTTAAAGAGGCGTTTTTATTTTTTCTCTCTGACTTTTATTTTAAAGGACTTTGTAGTTTCAAAGACATGATAAATTCCAAAAACTATTTCAAGAATTAAATGCAAAGTAGAATAAATGGGTACTAAATGCAAGAGGAAATTTCGGTAGAATTAAAAACAAAAATAAAATTGTTTGGATTCACAAGGCCGAATAGGTAATTTTTAAGCTGCTACTGTTAGAAGAACGAAATACGAGGATGTTACCAAGTTTATATAAGCCCTTAACATATAACTGTTTCAAAAACAAATATTGCGAAATTTCAAGGATAAAATTTTAAAAAGACATTTTCAATATTTACCAGCCCTTCTGCACTATAAACTTGAATCTGTTTAAATTCTACAGGATTTCCTCATTCATTTTATACCGATACTTCTTCTCTAAGCACATTTGTCTGAATTTTTCAAATAATTTTTGAATTACTGACGTCGGAGAGAAAAACTAAAAACACAATTTTACTATATATGGCCCATGGTTTCGCGAATATATTGATATTTGTGTTTAAAATTTACTATCGCACGGTGTTATATGTACAATGAGCTAGACATATATGTATAAAAAATATTAATTATTAAATAATAAAAAAAATATAGCTAATACTAGTCAAGGAAAGGAGTTTCAATTATTTGCCAAGAATCCCGGGAGTTTTGGGACCTTAAAAAGGCCGGGATCCCGGGATTAACATTCCTAATATGTATTCGTGTATGCTAATACCTAAAATTATATATGTACATATATACTTTTGCAAATGCCACGACACCCAAAAAACGACATGATCCAAATCTTTATTTATTTTTAAGAAAATACACTTTGTCGAATTCTCGAATTTAGGAGTAAATGTTATTGATTTTGTATATAGTAATAATAACCCTGTCGGGAATTTTGCAGTCGACCTCTAAAATAGCCAACTTATTACGACTAACTTTTAATTGGCTTCAAAATCATGCAGGGCTCAATCGAGGGGATATGTATGTATGTAAAATTGTTTCACAATTTTCTCTTTCGAAAAAAAACTTGTGTTCCAAAATAGAAAATTTAAAACAATTACATGTGTGTGTACATTTATTGCCATTGTGTTCTTTATTGAAAGCGAGAAAACATGAATTTTGGCTATTTTATTCCCTGTAGGAAACTCAACTAACTATAAATGCACTATAAGTCAAGAATGATAGAATACAAGAATGCGCATTCTTGCGGGTGATGACGTTAAGATAGCAACGAATAGGAAAGAGTAATTGGAGATGGAGGAGAGAGAGAGTGTTAACTGTCAAACCATGCAGGTCGCCATATCTATATACATGTAAACATCTCTGCATACATACAAACAGTTTGCTAAAATGACGTCACACTAACAACTTATTCTGTCAAATTCGCCAAGAACAAAGTAGCGGTACTGCTGATTGCGCCACCTCTGTCTCCCTACATCTTGACTATAAGTTATAGTTATTTTTCAACTAGGGGTGACTTCGCTTCGACTACTTTACGATACATTCAACTGATTACTTTTACGTGATGATGTCGCAAAAAAAGTAAGTTTGTTTTCAGCTAACTACAAACCGGTTTCTAATAAGTTAAAATTGGCGTGCAAATATGTTAGCGTTAGGCCGAGCTTCTCCTCCGATTTGTGGCGTGCGCCTTGATGTTGTCACACAATGCGGACAAGCTGTTTTTCATGGCAGAAATACACTTGGGGGTTTGCCATTGCCTGCCGAGGGGAGGCCGCTGTTAAGAAAAGAAATGTTTCTATATTTTTTGCGATGTTGCTTTGACCAGGGCTTGAACCCAGGCCTTGCGGAGCGGTAGCGAACGTTGCTAACCACTACACCACAAAAGGAGTTATTTTTCCAATTTTTCCCATGAAAATGCTGTAGATCTAAAAACTTCTGCTAAAACTGTATACCCTCCTCTTTGTATGACAACATATCTTACAAGACACGTCAGAGGTTAAAATACAAACTTCATATTGTGCATATCGATGGTTCTATGCAATAATGACACAACTAAAAACTAAAAAAAAACCTTACTGCTACTGTTCAGTGATTCATGTCTGTAATCCTGGTTTTATCCATGTCTAACCCGAACTAAATACTAGACATGGATTTGAGACATGAGGCCACAAACAGTAGTAATCTTTTTCTTTTTTTGCAGTCAGGTATTGCAAAGCACCATCGCGATGCATCGATACGTTAGTAAAATAAATTTTATGTTTTTTAAAACTTAAGAGTGTAGTTTTTTAATATTTTAAAAAATTAGCAATAAAATGTCCATATACATATTGCAAGAATGCAAAATCTTGTACACTCAAAAAAAGTTGTCGTTAGGACGATGCTATTTAGCCATCAACGTGAAACTTTCGCGTAAATATCTATCTATTTTTCCTCATTAATCATCTTATATAAATGATAGCTTTCGTTGTTGCATTGAAACCAAAAAGACTATACTGGTCTCAATTTGTTATTGCTAGGGGTAAAACTGTGTGTTGAGATCTAATATCAATCCACGTTTTATATTAGGTATTAATTAATTATTGTATTGTTACCAAAAATTATATTGTTTAAAGTTTCATTTCAACACAACGCGTATTAAACCAATAGTGATACACTGTTTTTTGAGTGTATATACATATAATTACAAATATACACAGTTACAAATACAAATACTATAAATGCAAATTGTTCATTTTGGATTTTCCTCTCCTTTTTCAGATATCAGTCGTTTGACTCGATCGCCATCGCCCCTGCAATATGCTGGTAAGTATTTGACAAGTTTCAGAGTGCCATCGAAAAATATACTTTTGTATGTATGTATGTGCCTGCGTATCTATGGATGTGAAGTAAAACGATAGCATAAATTTAAAAATTATATAAGAGCATTTTAGTTTAAATCTATTAATTATATTCTAGCGTGTCTCAGTCCTTTATCCACAAAAGCGACTATAACTTCTTTTTTTTTATATTCCAAATAGTTAGTGTGGCACCTTTCTGAAATCTCCAATAACCCTGCTTTGATAACCCTACTGAAAATTGCTGGGAAGATAACCATACATCTATGAGACGTATCATGGGTTGCTTGCCCTACTTTTATGATAAAGCGCTCAAAGTTTTTCATGTATTTTATATGGAAAAAAAACTTTTCGTAGAAATGGTATAAAGTTCTTGAAAATCAATATTTTTCGATCGGAAAACTGTGGTTCCCCCACTGTATTTCCGCCACATATAGCCAAATTTCGGGAAGAAAATACGAAAAAGTTAAAAATCACAAAATTGTCCTAATTTTATAATAGAGCTTATACAACTGGAAAACTATCGATAGTCGTGGCCATCGATAGTTTCGATAGTACTATCGATAGTTTTAATAAAAAAGTCAAAAAGATGTTTTCGATAGTCAAAAACCATTGATACTATCGATAGTTTTCCAGCTCTAACAAATAAATTTTGGTCCCGAATAGCGACGGTTAAGGCATGTCGTACTGGGGGTAAAATTCAGATTCCTCTATGGAGACTCGAAGATATCATATATAAATTTTGGCCCCGATTGAAGTTGGTTAAGGCGCGCCGCAGCTATGTACCACCGCTGTCAAACTATTTTTTCACGTATCCTATTATTATGGCGGTCACAGAGCTACACCACGACTTTGGTTGTGACCAGCTTAGATGTATTTATATATTTTTCGAGAAACAGATAAGGTTCTTCCTCTGCTTTTATGACAAACTCATACAAATGCATGATGTCGCTGAAGATAAAAATGAACAATTTACAGCTGTGGTCGTCTTTTTCAATGTGTTGAGACTATAAGAATTTTTAAAACATAATACAAAAAAATCGCTCCGAGATTTACAAACATTTAAAAGATGTTTAACATACAGGCTTTTACATAAAGTATTTTACATAACTCAAAACGAAAACATGAAGTAAAACATGAAACCAGCAAATGTATCGCTAAACGATAGATAATTTTTACTTTTACAGTTTTATGAGTGGGTCACATTCGTATTAAAATGCAAAATGATAATTAGTTCTGTAAAGTTATTTTCTTTCCCCATTGGTATCTGCAGGTAAAAATTATCCAAGAACCTGATTTGTGGGACTGTAGGGGTTGTAGTCGAGCCGCCATATTGGGAAAAATTTGTGGTTTCTTTAAATAGCTATATTGCACACTCATACAAAAAGTTCTGTGTTGTCAAGGCAAATTGGAACCTGAAAGGGCCCTACAAATGTTTGGCTCTCTTAAGGTGCAGACACATACATATGTATGTATGTACATAAGCATATTTTTTGTTTTGTGCAATTGTAAGAAGGTTAAAAGTTCTAAATTTTTTTAGAAGTAAAAAATTAATATTAAAAACTTAAAATATTTAAATTACAAAAGCAGCAACGATGCATGGTATACTAATGTAAATATATAAACATGCATATACATACTCTGCTGTGGACATTTAAATACGTGCGTGGTAAATTTAAGTGTGAAAATATTATTTTTAAATACGAACACTTTTAAGCAAATATATAGTACTCATTTTCACTATACATGCAAGTACTCTACCATGAGCAATGAAAGAGATATGCAGCATGAAAAATTCGATTTGTATGGGAGGTGCCAAGCTCCCTTTTCCAATAGATAATATCTATTTTTTCCATAATAATATTAGTATGGATAATATCATATGTATCCATACTAAGTTCTAGGACTTTATTATCAACACTTCCAAAGATATGCATTCGGTTTGTAATAGAGGTGCCACGGTCCCTTTATATATACAAAAGAAGGAAGAAAAAAGTTTTCAAAAAGTGAGCCATTACAAAAACTAATCTGGGCTGACATTTGCGTAATACGAAGCTTTGTCTGCGGATTTATGAGACAGTTAAAGAGGTATGCAGCGCTTTTGAAATTAACCTGGCCGAGTATGTATTGTAAACTAAGACAGCTACTTTATAATAATAGGGGACTCTGAGTGGTGGGCGAAAGGGAAGTAAACCGCTGAGAGGAATCGATTTTAATTTACGATTTTAATTTGGTTGATTTTTCAAGACAACTAATGCTTGATTTCCACTAGGCATTAAATGGTAAATGACAAAGTTGGGCATTAAAAAATAATCATGTCATTACGTTAAAAAGATAGCCATTAAGTTCATTTCCCCATGACATTTTTTTTAAATGGCATAAATTTTTTTGTCATTTCAATGCCTAGTGGAAATTCGGCATAACAATAAATTTTAAATTAGAATTAGTAAAAAAGTGTATGTAAAAACGAAACATACTCGAACGATGTTATGCATTTTAAAACATTTTTCATTGTAGATCTTGAGTTTCTATATTTTGCAATATAATTTTTGTATTTAATGTTTTTTTTTTTTTTTTTACGGCAAAACACGAATTTCCGAAGCTTACCAATGATATCCAAGGTTAAGAACAACCCTTGTTTGCCAGAAAAAATTTCTATGTACATACAAATGTATGTATGTATATATATGTGATTTGATGTATGTAGAACAAGTGTTATGATGAATGCAAAGAGTACATTGCTACTTAAATCGCTGCCAAAAAGAAAAAAAAACATCTAAAATAACTGGGATAGAACGACAACACACCTAATTAGCATTAGCCGGTGCCAGCATATGCAGTCAGGCGTTGTTATATCTATTATGCATGCGTACATACTTACATACGTATGTATGTGCGAACTATATAAATGTATATGAACATATGCACGTCTGAACTAAATTTTAACTATATAAAATTTATAAGTAATTTTCTTTCGCTCACTTTGGATTCCCTATTCTCTTCATCACCTCATCTCGTTTCGACGCCGCGAGGACAACAAAGCATGCTGATGTGTGATAAATTTACGATTTGTCTGTTCAATCCGCACCATATGAAAATGGTAAACAGACCTTCTGTCGTTGGAAAACATCTGCTTTAATACACACTCGTATCAAATAGGACATACATAGTTATTGGGCGAGAAACAGACTTTGTGAAGGTTCAAATAAAATCGAAATGAATCAATTTTTGTAACTCATATTGTTTTCGACAATGAATGGATATAGATATATACATATGTATATGTATTGTACCCACATATGTACATATGTGCATACTAATTTTATAGTATTAGTTTTGTGTGCAACACACGCAGATGTGCATACATACTTTTGAGTATTTACTGACTTTTCAACCCTTGCTTAGAGTACCTAATACAAGGCACACGCGAGTATTCATACATTGTTATAAATACGTTTACAAACAAACATACAATTTTAAAGCAGGGAAAGGGTATATTGGCTGGACTCTTATTTACCGGCTCTATTAATGTCGTAAGAGCCACGCGTCTTTCGCACTTTCCATTTCAAATCGCTCCCAAAAGTAATGTTGCACCAATGTCTTAACTTAATTTGCCTTTAAGGTTTCAATATAACGCGCATATATACATACTAGGGATGCCAAAATATCAGGAAAATTAGGATCCCGGGATTTCGGGATATTTTTTAGGTAATCCCGGGATTCAAATTGAGTATGGAGTTTTGCTTTGCTTTAAACAGGCAAAATGTTGTATTCAAAGTTTTGCGAAATACTTGAAGAAAATGGCTATACGAAGTGTTTTCCTCTGCTGTACAATTTTTAAATTGGGACCTAGCACCCTTGCACTTTACGCTAGCGATATTTATTAAATCAGACAAATTTTAAAGTAAAACTTTTTTTTAATTGTTTTCAAAAAACCATGTGATTGAGGAACGTATACATCACAAATAATAATTTAAATACCAGGTACTTTTGAAAGTAACGATAAATAAAAAAACGTAAAACAAAACAAGTAAGAAAGTCTAAGTTCGGGCGGAGCCGAACATTAAATACCCGGCGCAAGAATTAAATATATGTTTTTTCACCCTTCCGAAACCTTCCGCTAGATGGTAAGCCGAGGTGCATCAATTTTGAGTAAATTAGCGTCCTTCAATTTCGAAATATTGAAGTTTCAAGCATTTCTTAAATTTACCGTTATATGAGAATCGGCCGTTATTTTAGTCCGATTTCAACAATTTTCAACGTTTTGCTAACACGTGGCAAGTACAATAACCATACCGAGTTTGGTACAAATTGGTAGAACGGTTACCGATATACTTATATGTGATCATAAGTGGGCGGTGCCACGCCCATTTTCCAAATTCTTACCATAAACGTATTTCTTGGTAAAGAATTGTTGCAAGTATCAATTTTGAATAAATTAGCTTCAATATTTAATGATTTATCGAAGATTTTGTATTTCTCTAAATTACCGTTATATGGGATGTGGGCGTGGTTATTGTCCGATTTTAAAAAGTTTCGGCGGTTTTTTATGCTGTACCAAGGCCAACAACTGTGCCAAGTTTGGAAGAAATTGGTGCAGCGGTTACCAAGATATACACATGTAACCACAAGTGGGCGTGGCTACGCCCATTTTCCAAAAATTTATAATATTCTTATTTTTCGTCTAAAACTTATTATAAATATCAATTTTGAGTGAATTACCGTTATATGGGAAGTAGGCGTGGTTATTGAGCGATTTTAAAAATTTTCGGCCATTTGGTATGTTATGCGAAGGCCAACAACTATGCCAAGGTTGGAAGAAATTGGTGCAGCGGTTACCAAGATATACACATGTAACCATAAGTGGGCGTGGATACGCCCATTTTCAAAAATTTATAATATTCTTATTTTTCGTCTAAAAATTATTGTAAATATTAATTTTGAGTGAATTATCTTCAGTAGTTACTA